AAATGTAGATGGAGAGGTTTTCCAGCACACATCTGTCTCCTTGCTGTGAGCAGTTTCCAGTGAACACAGAATTCCAGAGGATGGTGACTCAAGACTTTTGGCCAGAAGCTGGACTGGAACAGGAACTCTGTAAGGCATGTCCCATTTCTCTGCCTGTGTACGCCACCCTTTCAGGTTCCCAAGAGAAATATTTGCATTCCATATCCTTGAGCTTTACTCACTACAGTGATGGCATCTTCAGCCCACCCAACGTGAACTGTACTCCCATTTCCTCCTTCTTACTGGGCACCACCCAATTTTCTTTTTAGGACACTCCCATCACCTTCTTTCTTCTTCCCCTATTATCACTTGTCTCTCAAGTCCTGTTGATTTCTTGTATGCTAATTAGTTATGTCACTTGCTGAGTAGTTGCATCACTAATTGTAAAACACTGCCCACCTGATTCTATTAAGATTAGATTTTTTTTTTTTTTTTTTGAGACACAGTCTCACTTTGTCACCCTCAGTAGAATGCCATGGCGTCATTGCTGACAGCAACCTCAAACTCCTGGGCTCAAGTGATTTTTGTTGCCTCAGCCTCCCAAGTAGCTGGGACTATAGGCTCCCCCCTACTTTTAGGGAGGGGTCTCACTTTTGCTCAGGTTAGTCTCGAGTGAGCTCAGGCAATCCACCCACCTCTGCCTGCCAAAGTGCTAGGATTACAGGCATGAGCCACTGTGCCTGACCTTAGAAATGTTTTTAAAATCTTTGTTTCTCTTCTGAGTACCATGATTCAGGATCAGATATACTCTGGGGCAGAGGTATTCAAACTTTGGAGTGCTTTCTTACATTAGAGGCAACTTTAACCTGCTGGTGAAGGGGCCCCACCTGAGATCTTCTGAGCTCAAGTCAGATCTCCTGCACCTATGTTTTTAACACACTCCCCAGGGAACACTGAAGAGTCCAAAGCTTGAGAGTCAATGTCATATTATCTGATCTGTTCAAGAAAAACAACATGATTGCAACAGTGACCTTAACACTTTATTTACTCCTTTTTTGCTAAACTCTTCTGACCCAATACCCACATCTTTCCTACTACCTAGTTAAATTATCATGGTCCCAGTGTTAGCCCCTTTCCTCTCCTGAAATTACAACCAATTGAAAAATACATGTAGGATTCAAAATACTGCCTTCATTATTCATAGAGCTGATTGGAGAACACAGCTTCGATTCTGCTGTTAGTTGGGCTTAATAATATTCCCTCACCAGTCTCCTAAGTGCAGGCATAGTTACATAGTCACTTAGCATAGGCAGACAACCACAGGCCCCTTAACTCAAGACAGAGCAGGAAGGAATGCATGAGGGCAGAATGCAGGCCACTAAGGAAGGAGGAGGAGGAGGAAAGAGAGAAAGACAGGAGGAGAAAGAAAGAAATGCTAAGAAAAGGGTAGGGTAGAAAGAAGACAGAAAGAAAAAAGGCTGCACACACCCAGTCCATTTCTTTTCAGTTCACCAATCAGAAAACTTACTCCTAAGCACAAAACCACTTGACTCAGATTTTCTTCCTTCCTTTCTCTTTCTTTCTTCCTTTCTCTCTCTCTCTCTCTCTCTCTCTCTCAATAGAATCTGACTTTTTTTTACCTGAGCTAGAGTGCAATGGGTCATCATAGCTCACAGCAACCTAAGACTCCTGGGCTCAAGTGAGCCTTCTGTCAGCCTCCGAGAACAGCCAGTGCTAACAGGTGCCCACCACCACACATGGCCAATTTTTCTATTTTTTTTGCAGAGACAGGATCTTGCTTTTTCTTAGGCTGATCTTAAAACCTCTGGTCTTGGCTCGGCGCCTATGGCTCAAGTGGCTAAGGCGCCAGCCATATACACCTAAGGTGATGGGTTTGAATCCAGCCTGGGCCCGCCAAAACAACAATGATGGCTGCAACCAAACAATAGCCGGGCATTGTGGCAGGCGCCTGTGGTACCAGTTACTTGGGAGGCTGAGGCAGGAGACTCGCTTGAGCCCAGAAGTTGGAGGTTGCTGTGAGCTGTGATGCCACAGCACTCCACCCAGGAGAGATAGCTTGAGGCTCTGTCTCAAAAAAAAAAAAAAACCTCTGGCCTCAAGGGATCTTCCTACCTTGGCAGCCCTGAGTGCTAGGATTACAGAAGTTAGAGAAGACCCAAAGGCAATCCTCTTTTAAAATGAAGCCATTCAATGCTAATTCCAAAGTTGTAGAATTTTGTCTGTTTGGTCATTTTACTAGCAAGGATTTAAAATACTTCTATAGGCCATGTTAACAGGCCACGTTAACTTTTTGCTGGTATTTCAAGTTTGTATTTCTGGAAATTATAGCTTTAAACTTGTTGGCACTGAACTCTGAAGTTATGAAACAACTCATGACATGGCTTTTCTTAGCTATTCTTTCTTTTTTTTTTTTTTTTTGAGACAGTTTCACTTTGTTGCCCTTGGTAGAGTGCTCTGGAGTCATAGCTCACAGTAACCTCAAACTCTTGGGTTCAAACAATTCTCTTGCCTCAGCCTCCTTAGTAGCTGGGACTACAGATGCCTGCCACAACACCCAGCTATTTTTAGAGATGGGAGTCTCGCTCTAGGTCAAGCTGGTCTCAAACTCCTGAGCTTAAGTGATCTGTCCACCTCAGCCTCCCAAAGGGCTGGGATTACAGATGTGAGCCACCATGCCCCACTTTTTTTTTTTTTTTTTTTTTTTTTACAGAGCCTCAAGCTGTTGCCTTGGGTAGAGAACCGTGGCATCACAGCTCACAGCAACCTCCAACTCCTGGGCTCAAGCGATTCTCCTGCCTCCACCTCCCAAGTAGCTGGGACTACAGGCGCCCGCCACAACGCCTGGCTATTTTTTGGTTGCAGCCATCATTGTTGTTTGGCGGTTCCGGGCTGGATTCGAACCCACCAGCTCAGGTGTATGTGGCTGGCACCTTAGCTGGTCATGCCCCACATTTTAACTAGACTTTTGCCTTCTCCACTACCCCTCTCGTGCCACTTCTGAGAGGCCCTTGCTCACGGCTGTCCTCCTCCACTCATTGCTCTAAGTGTTGGAATTTCTTTCTTTTCTACACTCCCTAAAAAGGCTCAACATTTACATGGCTTTAAAATTATACCTAGCCCAACCTCTACTCTCCAAACACACCTCTCCAACAATCTGCTTCATGTTCTATCTCCACTGGGATGTCTCAGAGGTATCTATAGCTCCCAAACAGAAGTATTCATTTCCACCCTCGTCACACTCCCCAAACTGGCTCCTTTTTCCATCTTCCCTATCTCATAAATAGCATCACAGTCAAGTGAGTCATCAAAGTGTCACCCAAAGCATCTTCCTCTTTCTCAACTCTTACATCCAATCAATCCATCAGCAAGTTCAGTCATTATTTCTGCTTTCATAATCCATCCCAGCTCTCTTCCTCTCCATCTCTACTGCTACCACCTTTCATATCACCGTCATCTCTTGACTGCAGTATTGCAATAGCCTCCTTATGAATCTTGCTTTAGTCATGCTGTTTTCCAAACCACTTATAGGGCAGCCAGTGTAACCTTTTAAAAATATAAATCATATCATGTCACATCTTTTATGTAGCTGCCTGCTACATTGAGAATAAAATCTATAAGCATGGCCTGTATCCTAATTCCATGTTGTCACAACCAAGGCCTGCAAAGCCAACATGGCCTGGCTGTTACCCACCTCATCTCATGCCACTCTCCTCCATTCTGTCCACTCTACTCCAGCACATGGTAAGCTATTGCCAACCCATCAAGTCCCTCAGCCTACAGCTTTCTCCTTCTTTCCCACCCACAAACTTGGTTTCTTCTCTGGTCTCGACTTTGTAAGACCTTCCCTGGCCCCACTAAGTGAGTCTCCCTGTTGGGGTGTGGTCCATCCTCTGCTCACAGGCATTGAGACTCGACCTCTGCAATCATCTTTCTTTGATCCATTCTTCTTCTACCTTATGCAATCAATGTTCAATGAGTCCAGTTGGTTGCTTATTCAAATCTGTTTGTCCTCTCTGTCTCTTCCTATAGCACAGTCCAGAGAGACATCACTGGTGGCTTTGGAGGATGGACAAGATTAGAGAGAACAGGCTC